GCAGGAGAATGGCGTAAACCTGGGAGGCAGAGCTTGCAGTGAGCTAAGATCCGGCCACTGCACTCCAGCCTGGGCGACAGAGCGAGACCCCATCTCAAATAAATAAATAAATAAATAAACAAACAAACAAACAAACCAAGAGATGGTTATATTAAACTCTAAAGAGTAAGGAAGACTGAATCCCAACATCACAAAGTTCAAAAAAAAGTAACTTCTGGAAATCTGATGGTCCCTCAGAGTAAAAACTACTTACACATTGAACAAGTGACCTGCCACTACAATGAAAGAAAATCTTTTTTTTTTTTTTTTTTTTTTTTTTTGAGACGGAGTCTCGCTCTGTCACCAGGCTGGAGTGCAGTGGCCGATCTCAGCTCACTGCAAGCTCTGCCTCCCGGTTCACGCCATTCTCCTGCCTCAGCCTCCCGAGTAGCTGGGACTACAGGCGCCTGCCACCTCCCCGGCTAAGTTTTTGTATTTTTAGTAGAGACGGGGTTCACTGTGTACCAGGATGGTCTCGATCTCCTGACCTCGTGATCCGCCCGTCTCGGCCTCCCAAAGTGCTGGGATTACAGGCTTGAGCCACCGCGCCCGGCCCAATGAAAGAAAATCTAGGCCGGGCATGGTGGCTCACGCCTGTAATCCCAGCAATTTGGGAGGCTGAGGCAGGAGGATCACCGAGGTCGGGAGTCCGAGACCAGCCTGACCAACATGGAGAAACCCCATCTCTACTAAAAACACAAAATTAGATGGGCCTGGTGGCGCATGCCTGTAATCCCAGCTACTCGAGAGGCTGAGGCAGGAGAATCGCTTGAACCTGGGAGACACAGCTTGTGGCACTTCAGCCTGGGTAACAAGAGTGAAATTCCGTCTCAAAAAAAAAAAAAAATCTAATTCAAAACAATCTGCTGGACACCTGTTTCCCTCTTATAACTCAGAGAAGTTAGGAACCCCTAACCCATCCAACATACACACTCAACAAGCTCCTAGAATTGTGAAAAAGTTTCAAACATAAAGATGATTCTGGCCGGGCGCGGTGGCTCAAGCCTGTAATCCCAGCACTTTGGGAGGCCAAGACGGGCGGATCACGAGGTCAGGAGATCGAGACCATCCTGGCTAACACGGTGAAACCCCGTCTCTACTAAAAAATACAAAAAACTAGCCGGGCGAGGTGGCGGGCGCCTGTAGTCCCAGCTACTCGGGAGGCTGAGGCAGGAGAATGGTCTAAACCCGGGAGGCGGAGCTTGCAGTGAGCTGAGATCCGGCCACTGCACCCCAGCCTGGGCGACAGAGCAAGACTCTGTCTCAAAAAAAAAAAAAAAAAAAAGATGATTCTGCACATATAGCTAAAACTGAAAATAGTTTAAAGAGGAAAAAAAGTAAGCCACAGATAAAATATTTCCTTGTATAGTAGGCAGGTTCAAGATTAGGAACTAATGCCCTCACGATACATTTCCCACTTGGTCTCATCTACTCCAAGTAACAAGACCATTCTGTGAAGCCAGATGACTCAAAAAAAAACCCTATCTGAAGCATCTGTCTCCCTCTCCTGAGGAACCTGGACACTGATTAACATGACCCAAATGTACCTTACCATTATCCCCAAAACCTGAGCCTCTTCTTTACTCCGTTTTCGTGAAATGTACCAACATCCATGTACCCCATTAAGACTGACTCTAACCCAGCTCTCTTTTCTGCTCCCACTGCCCCTGACTTCACATAAAAGCCCCCACCATCTCAGGCCGAGCCAGAATCAAAAGAAATCATACGTGGAATCTCAGAACTTGTCTTCCTGGGTCTCTGGCCCAGACTGGCTTGCTCCTAGCCCCTCTTCTTCCCTCCCTCCATCCCGTACTTGGTACCCCTAGTCAGCTCCTAGAAATGGTTTCAGTATTGGTGGGACCTCAGAACTGTCGTTCGCTGCAGTCCATGTCACTATCATTTCTTGAACATCCACTCCCCCTCTTCTTCACCGAGCCTAACTACTCTGACCCCTCCTTCAACACAGCTCTGAGCCATTGCACCGGGAAGCCTTCCATGACCTTCAGGTGCCTCTCCAAGGTACTGCCATGACCTTCTACCTACTTCTTGTAATTGTTTACCGGTAGGAGCATCTTGGAGGTGGGGCTGCGTCTTTATCTTTGCTTCCTGAGTACCTAGCACAGCACAGCAGTGCTCAATACACACATGATGAATAAATTAATGGATCCAGCAGTCCCTAATGATAATGAGTCAGATGCTAGCTTAAGAGGAAATGACAGTGCTTCTAAATCATTAATTAGAAGTAATTTTAAGTAGAGTTCTCTGTCTCTGTGGCTGTCTCTGTGCCTGAAAGGAAACCGCGGCAGTAAAAGGAACGTCCCCTCACGAGGGTTCACTGGCCCTCCAACAGCTGACTCAGATCGACAAGCTAAAACCTAAAATAATTCAAGCTCATGACTGCACAGAACTATTATCAATGAATCAATGATCAGCGAGTTACAAGAAACCACATCATTCGGGGAATGAGAAATTGGGAGGTGCAACTTAATAATGGAGAAGAAATGAAAGTCAGCAGCCAATACAGGGTGAGCAGCCACAACAAACATGAATAACTCGAACATCAAGGCCACAACGCATCAGGAAAAAACTGCAAACCGAATAAGGCAAAAAAAAAAAAAAAAGGCTCAGAAACCTACACTACCACTCAATACCAGTCAAAGCAGTTATCCTCAGTCCTACCACAGGCATTATTTCCAAGGATTACAAAACAAGAACTTCTGTCCTACTGCTCAAGAAACTGAGTTTTGCTGGTTGAACTGTTGTCCCAGAGAAACAATCATCTCTCTCAGCTTAATGAAGAAAGATGAAGGCACACAAACTGCATCCACTCATACAATTTTAAAAAAAGAGTTTAGAAAGTCAATTTGGACTATCTCCAGTGCCACACTGCCCCTACCACCACCAAAACAAAAAACAAAAAAGCGGCTGGGCGCGGTGGCTCACGCCTGTAATCCCAGCACTTTGGGAGGCCGAGGCAGGCCAGTCACAAGGTCAGGAGAACGAGACCAGCCTGGCCAACATGATGAAACCCCGTCTCTACTAAAGATACAAAAATTAGCCGGGCGTGGTGGCATGTGTCTGTAGTCCCAGCTACTCTGGAGGCTGAGGCAGGAGAATCACTTGAACCCAGGAGGTAGAGGTTGCAGTGAGCCGAGATCACGCCACTGCACTCCAGCCTGAGCGACAGAACAAGACTCTGTCTCAGAAAAAAAACAAACAAAAAAGCACACTCATGAGAGATTTTTAAAAGAATTTGTGTCAACTGCCCCAACATCCTTTAGTAATCAATTCCAATGTTGAACAATGATTAATAATGAACTGTTTTTCATATAGTTTAAACATATAGAGAGAAATGACAAAGTCACCTAAATCTTGTCTTAGAGGGTAGAACATTTTTTTGAAACTGTAAACCAAATCTCAGTGATTTGATGCCAGGATGTGTAAGTCATCTGACTTCACCACCCACTGAGATGAGCAGGTCTTTTGCTAAACACTGAAAAAATGAAAATGCAAAAAATGGAGAGGCCATTTCTTTTACAGTCCCAGTCCTGCGGGGTTCACCAATGTGAAAATTAGCAGGTTTCCAAGAGCACCATCCTGCCCTGATTCTATCACCTAAAAATTCCCCTAAATCAAACTTGAGTTTACGATGAAAATCTTCCACCATAGATCACCATGAACAGCAAGCTTTTTTCTGTACCTAGAATCAGCACACATGACTGGACCCCAGATCTCTGTACTAGATGTCTGACCCCAGGAGGTCAAATCTCACCCAAGGAGTACAGGTACAGATAGAAAATCTAACACAACGCAATCTCAACTAAAGGAAGCAGTTCTAAGATTTTTTTTTGTAAAGATCAAGCGTTAGGCTCAATTAAGAAAACTATTTGCAGCCAGGCACGGTGGCTCACGCCTGTAATCCCAGCACTTTGGGAGGCCGAGGTGGGCGGATCACCTGAGGTTGGGAATTCGAGACCAGCCTGACCAACATGGAGAAATCCTGTCTCTACTAAAAATACAAAATTGGCCGGGCGTGGTAGCTCGTGTCTGTAATCCCAGCTACTCGGGAAGCTGGGGCAGGAGAATCGCTTGAACCTGGGAGACGGAAGTTGCGGTGAGCCAAGATCACGCCATAGGACTCCAGTCAAGGCAACAAAAGTGAAACTCCGTCTCAAAAAAAAAAAGAAAGAAAGAAAGAAAGAAAAGAAAAGAAAACTATTTGCACACAAGAGAATTATTTATCCCCCTTTTTTTAATATTAGCAAGCCTCGGGTCAGCATGTTCTTGGCAAATGTTTATTTTAAAAGACCACTGCCTGAACAAATTGCTCCAAAGCCTACTTCATCATTTACATAACTTCAGTACTTTTCCAGAACACAGGCCCTTTGAAATGTGTAAAGTGTTTCGAGTGGCTCCTCTTCCCATGCCTGAGTGTTACTAAGGATTGCTTCACAGCTCTCTCTGGCAGGATGTGAGAAACGCTGTATACACAAAATCCCAGCAAGGCTGATTACTCACGCCAAGTCACCTCACAGCCAGGATTACTTAAGGAAAAGACCCCTCTGAACTCTCCGACACTCACATCCTGGGGCCGAAACCATGATATAAGCAGCCTCTGGAGCTTGACCGAAGCTCCTGAATGCACACACAGTCCCCCTTTTAACGTGTAAGTGCACGGTGGCCGGGGCTCGCCAACAAGCACGGTGTAGAGGGGGAGCAAGAACTGGCCGGGCTGCGCAGGGCCCCCTGAACAATGGCACACGAGTCGCCCACCCTCCCTCAAGAAGGCCAGTGAAGCAGCACATCGGTCAGGCGCTGAGCCCCCGGGAGGCAGAAATGGGCCCAGGAACCAGGGAGGGACTTGCTGCGGATGCCCAGGACGCTGGGCCCGGGAGTTTGAGCGCCGGGGGGCCGGGCCGCAGCCGCGAGGGCTGCACTCTCAGCCTGGTCGCCTCTCTCACCTCCTGCGCTGGCGGTCCCGGTTCCTGCCGAGGCGGTCGGACAGGCGTCCCAGGAGCGCGGCCAGCCCTGGGCGGCCAGGCAGGAGGCCCAGTAGTCGCCTCCAGAACACGGGTCCCGCCGCCGCTGCCGCCGCCACCGCCATGGAGATTCACCGCTTCCGCTTCCGCTCCCGGCGCGCACGAACTTTATTGACAAACGCGAGCGCGGACACGGTGCAGGCGCGCAGGCGCCGGAGCCCTGGCCCGGGGAGGGAGGCCCTGCACCGCCCCCAAGCCTCAGTTTCCCCTCTGGGGGACACAGGCGAGGAATAGTGGTCGCGCCACAGGAGTGGGTCGGAAGTCTGCCCGTTAAACCCGCAAGGGCTCCAGGCGGCCTGCATTCCTGCAGTCACTTGTCACAGGTAGCGGAGGAAAGGATGCGGCGCAGGGGCTCTAAGAGCAGCGTCACATTTGGCTCCAACTCACCAGCTCTCAGGGGATCCTCCCAAAGTGCTGGGACCACCAAAGTGCGTGTGCCACCGTGCCCGGTTAATTTTTTAATTTTTTGTAGAAATGGGGGGGGGGTCTCACTGTGTTGCCCAAGCTGGTCTCGAACTCCTGGGGTCAAGCGATCCTCCTGCCTCAGCCTCCCAAAGTCTTGCCAAGCCTGGCCACTGGCTGTCAAAATTGACTCCTTGGCGCACAGTGGCTCACGCCTGTAATCCCTGCACTTTGGGAGGCAGAGGCAGGTGGATCACATGAGGTCAGGAGTTCGAGACCAGCTTGGCCAATGTGATGAAACCCCGTCTCTACTAAAACTACAAAAAATTAGCTGAGCGTGGTGGCGTGCGCCTGTAATCCCAGCTACTCAGGAGGCTGAGGCAGGAGAATCGCTTGAACCCGGGAGGCGGACGTTGCAGTGAGCCAAGATCCCGCTACTGCACTCCAGCCTGAACAACATAGCGAGACTCCATCTCAAAACAAAAAAAAAAAATTGAGTCCTCATTGAAAAGTGGGGGGAATTACTGTTTGAGGCTCTAATTGATAGGGTGTTCTTTAGACTTGTACAACACCCCTAAGGTGTTAAACTTGAACAAAGTCTGTTCTTGTATGAAGTCTTGTAACCTGGTTAACGCTGACTCACTAAGGTGCACAGAACTACGGAAAATCCCCACCAGACTGAGGGAGGAATCATCTTTCACCCTGTTAGTCCCAGAGGCTGCAGCTCCATGGCACAGAACAGTCTCAGCAAATCTGTGTGAGATGAACAGAGTCTTCCACCCTCCTGATGTGCCCAAGTACGCAGATATCACTGGCCCCAGCAACACACAGTTCTATGCCCAAAAGACTGAAGGAGCGCATCCTCATACACCAAGAACACTGTTTTTTGGTTTTTTGGTTTTTGGTTTTTGTTTTGAGACAGGGTTTCACGCTTGTCACCCAGGCTGGAGTGCAATAGTGCGATCTTGGCTCACTACAACCTCTGCCTCCTGAGATCAAGAAATTCTCCTGCCTCAGCCTCCAGGATTACAGGCGTGCTGGGATTACCAGCATGCTGGGATTACAGGCGTGCTGGGATTACCGGCGTGCTGGGATTACAGGTGTGCGCCACCACACCTGGCTAATTTTTGTATTATTAGTAGAGACTGGGTTTCACCATGTTGGCCAGGCTGGTCTCAAACTCCTGACCTCAAGTGATCCACCCACCTTCAGCCTTCCAAAGTGCTGGGATTAGAGGCGTGAGCCACCACGCCTGGCCCAAGAACACTTTTTGAAGCTAATTTTAAAATGGAGAACTTCGTGGCATTCTGAAAGGCAGGAGAGGTGATCTCTGATCTGTAATATGCAAAGCTCCCTGGCTGGCCCACATAGGCTGGGACCTGGAAACTGGAAAAGCTGTAGGATATAATCATAGTCTACTGTGTTGTGAGGTTAAAATGATATGGACACGTGGGCTGGGCGCAGTGGCTCACGCCTGTAATCCCAGCATTTTGGGAGGCTAAGGTGGGCGGATCATCCGAGGTCGGGAGTTCGAGACCAGCCTGACCAACAAGGAGAAACCCCATTTCTAGTAAAAATACAAAATTAGCTGGGTGTGGTGGTGCGTGCCTGGTAATCCCAGCTACTCAGGAAGGCTGAGGCAGGAGAATCGCTTGAGCCAGGGAGGCGGAGGTTGCAGTGAGTCGAGATCGCACCACTGCACTCCAGCCTGGGCAACAAGAGCGAAATTCAGTCTAAAAAAAAAAAAAAAGATATGGACACACTGAAAAAAACCCTCCAAAGTCCACTTCCACAGATTATGCAGGGAAATCAACTACACATTCCCACAAGAATGTTCATCTCAGCCTTGTTCGTGATATCAAGTGTGGAAGCAAATCTTGAGGAGTAGGGGCTTGGTTAAATAATGATACATCAGTACGTTGGAAGACCACACATCCATAAAAATAACATGTTCTGGAAGAATATTTAATGACATTCAGTGTAAAAGCCAAATTACCAAGGAGTAGTGTAGAGACCATGTGATTTTATTAAAGGTGAGAGAGAGAGAAAGAGGAAATGTGTGTATGTATACAGAAAGACTGAAAGGAAATACCCCCAAAAGTAAGCGTTGGTTATTTGGTGCCATTAAGGAGTTTCCAAATTGTTGACAATCAACAAGTATTTCAGATTGGCTTTGAGTTGCCTTTTGCATTTAGATGGCTTAACTAATACTACATGGAATTTGATTCAACCCTTCCAAGTTAGAAACGGTGAATCATCAAATTTCCTAACTTCCAGTAACTAGAATGAGGCCATCCATTGCATGGTTCCACTTTTGCACTGTTCCTGGCCCACAGTTGTTGCAGAGTAAACACTTGCTGTATGGCTACACCGTCATGCTCAGCGGTGAGTGCCGCATGGGCCCTGGGAGCTTAGTTATCATCCTGGAAAGAGCTGGCAGCTTTTCTACATGGGTGCTTTGCTGTGCGAGGTACTGAAACAAACAACCATGCTACAGGCTCACTGGGAATTCCCAATCTTAAATAACTGCTAGTGACAGACAGCAATATTGATAGCATGGTAAGTCAAACTAATAAGTATTTACACTAAGGATAAACATCAAGGAATGACCCAGTCCCTTCTGAAACCACACACCGAGAGCCTCTGGCCTTCATGGCTAGTTTAAAACAGACAGAGCTATCACCAGAGTGAGGCAACCACAACTTTGCCCCGGGACACATACATTTCAAGGTTGCAAAAATGTTAAATAATGGTTTTCAGAGATTGTGCAATTTTTAAATGATTCCATTTACAGGATGACAGCACGTATGCATTCTTCCTGTCAGGAGGTCTCCTCTGGGCTAGTTACCGAAAACAAGTAGAGGAGATAAGACCCTCCCAGTCAACAAAGGTGACCCCGAGAGCCTGCCTGGGAGCACTCAGGGTGTCCCAAAGCTGCTTGACCGGCTCACAATCTGGGTCAGACACTACTGGATTCCCATCTCAATGACTGCGGGCGAAAAGACATCTGTCTTAGTCCCCCTCACCCTCCTGCCCTCACCCACTGCCTTCTCGTTAGTCCCACTCGCTCCTTCCCAGACAGGAGGTGCCAGGGTTAGAAAGACAGGGTCGATGGGATTGACATCCTATGTCTTCCCAAACGGAAAAGGAAACCCATTCATTGGAAGGAGAGTTGACGTCAACGAGTGGTGGGCTGCTGCCCCTGAAAGCGGGGCCGCTCTCCCAGGCAGGAAACACCAGGAAATCCTGAGCCAACAGCCCATGCCTCACTGCCTGTGATTCACTCCCTGAACCGAAAATCACTGTAACACAAGAGGAAGGCTCCTCCTCTTCTAGCTCGCTTGCTGGGAGAGGGTCTCTCCCAAACACGGGGCTGTTAGCAAATTCCGAAGGGAGGAAGTGTCTGTCCGGCCCACCTTCTGCCTCCAGAGATGAGAAACGGCCCCGGGGGGGGCTGATCAGCTGTTTGTGAGGAGCCTGTTCTTTGTTAAAAGGAATGCAGCCTGCCCGCTGGAGATGGGATGAAACCGTAACTGCCCCGTGGGTTCACCTTGCCTGCCGCCCAGACAGAACCGATTTATCAAGACAGGTGCATTGCAATGGAGAAAGAATGATTCACGCAGAGCCGGCTGCGCGGGAGACCAGAGTTTTATTATTACTCAAATCAGTCTCCCCAAGCATTCGGGGATCAGAGTTTTTAAAGAAAATTTGGCAGGTAGGGAAGCTTGGGAAGTGGGGAGTGCTGATTGGTCAGGTTGGAGATGGACTCTTAGAAGGTTGAAGTGAGGTTTTTTTGCTGTCTTCTATTCCTGAGTGGGATGGCAGAACTGGTTGAGCCACATAACCAGTCTGGGTGGTGTCAGCTGATCCATGAGTGCAGGGTCTGCAAAATATCTCAAGCACTGATCTGCGGTTTTACAATAGTGATGTTATCCCCAGGAGTAATTTGGGGAGGTTCAGATTCTTGGAGCCGGAGGTTGCAAGACCCTAAACTGTAATTTCTAATCTTATAGCTAATTTGTTAGTCCTGCAAAGGCAGACTAGACCCCAGGCAAGAAGGGAGTCTTTTCGGGAAAGGGCTGTTATCAATTTTCTTTCAGAGTCAAACTATGAACTGAATTCTTTCCCAAAGTTAGTTCGGCCTACGGCCTACGCCCACGAATGAACAAGGACAGCTTAAAGGTTAGAAGCAAGATGGAGGCCGGGCGTGGTGGCTCATACCTGTAATCCCAGCACTTTGGAAGGCTGAGGTGGTTGGATCACGAGGTCAGGAGATCGAGACCATCCTAGCTAACACGGTGAAACCCCGTCTCTACTAAAAATACAAAAAAATTAGCCATGCGTGGTGGCGGGCGCCTGTAGTCCCAGCTACACAGGAGGCTGAGGCAGGAGAATCGCTTGAACCCGGGAGGTGGAGGTTGGAGAGAGCTGAGATCACACCACTGCACTCCAGCCTGAGGAACAGAGCTAGACTCCATCTCAAAAAAATAAAAGAAGATGGAGTCGATTAGGTCTGATTTCCTCTACTGTCATAATTTCCTCAGTTACAATTTTGCGAAGACGGTTTCAAAGCCTACCTGGGAGTGGCTGCCTGTCTCCCTCTCCCTCTATTCTTCCCCTTGGTCATACGTCCAGTCTCACGGGCCTGGCCTTCTCTCGAGCCCGTGTCCTCCTCAGCATCTTTTTTGTTGTTGTTGAGACAAAGTTTTGC